TATTTTTAATTTCCCCTCTTAATTTTAACAGTTTATCTGAAGATTATTTTGGAGTATCTACATATACCATCATATAACTTGCAAATAATTACAGTTTTGTTTTGTCCTCATCAAACTTTACACATTTACAAAACTTTATTTTCTTTGTTACAATGAACTAGCTGGGCCTCTAGTACAATGTTTAACAGCAGTGGGTGAAGGCAGACTTCTCTTTATCCCAATCTTGAAAGGAAAGCTTTCAAGATTTCACTATTATGTATGACATTTCTTGCAGGTTTTTTATAGGTATCTTTACCAGATTAGTGAGTTCCCTTCTATTGCTGATGTACTACCAGGTTTTTAGAAAAAATTATCATGAGTGGATGTTGAATTTTATTAAATACATTTTTTGCATCTGTTAAGGTGATCATTGCTTTTTCTCTTTGAATCTATTAATATAATGAATTACATGGATCAAGTTTTATTTTCAAGTTTTATTTCTATATGCATTGCATATATGTATATAATATATAGAATGTACAAAATATATATATAATGTGAAATCAAAAATCTTAAATTAGTCTTTGAATTTGTATTTCAATTCTTAAAAATTACAGTACTACAGCACAGCATATAGATGAATGAAAGCTATAGGGGGTATAAATATTCAGTTCTCTACTAAGATAAATCTATTGTTTAAAGGTTTTTTTCCTTTGCCATTCATACCCATCTCTTTCTGGACTATTGCTGTATGCTAAGTAGGCAAAAAAGGGGGTAATATCACTGAAGATTCAAAACAAAACAAAAGATACTAAAATCTTTGTCACCAAAGTTCCAAAATAAAAAAAAAATTGTAGGAATAAAAGAATGTAAAATCAAAGTTTAAAGGATTGCTGAACATTTAGTTGCTTTTTCAGTCATGTACAAGGAGGATCAAGACTACCGTTAAGTCAACTGCAAGTGAAAAAAAATTTTTTTTTTATTTGAATTTCAAGTATTTTATTAAGGGATAACGACCTAATTCTTGGGTTTCAAAAACCTTTAAAAACATTCTACATTGACCAGCCTTAAAAAAAAGTTTAAAAACCCCATTATACAATAAACTTTTATAAAAAAAAGTAATAAAATACAAGTTAAATCAGCCAGACATTTTGCATAACCTTGCAGTTTACTAAAAAAATCCAAATTACAAAAGCTTATAGATTTTTATTTAGAGCAATTTTCTGAGGGTTATGTTTCTACATATCAAACCCTTTCACCATGTCCAACATGAACTATTAAATGGAAAAAAAAGGCAGTTCTCTGCTGGGCATTAAGCCTAAAAATATTTTAAATTGCTGGACCATGTGCTTCAACCTAGTGATCCTTATTTACATAAAAAGGGAAAAAGATATTTTGAATACAGATTTTAAGATAAAAATAGCCTCTATTACTTAGATTTTGGAAAGAAATGCAGCTTTTTAGTTAGCGTTGAGGCAAAGCAGGGAACCTGCTTCTTTCCAGTTACACTTGGGTCCTTGCAGAAGTCCACTAGGCGCAGAGACCCTTTCCTGTTCACCAGTGTGAGCAGCTCTGTGAACTCTAAGGAGGAGCCGTGTTTCCCCAACATCTCACCCAGATCTTGGATGGAGCACGAACCTGTCACAGTTTCCCGGTGAGAACAATAGCCTTCGGCAACAGAGCAACACGTGAGGAAGTCTGCTCAGGCAGGCAGCGTCCACCTCCGTTACGTTGGTGTCCAGCTTATCAGATTGATGATCCACTTCATCCAAAGGAATGACAGGCACGTCATGCTGGTTTCCCCGACATGCCTGAATGATAAATATCTTGGGTTTTCCAACCAGGCTCTGACACTTGTCTCCTTCGAACAAGCCAGTTAATGCCTGAATTTCAATTTTGGCGTCCTAGGCATAACTGTGATTGCCTTCGCCGTGGCTCAGGAAGACACACAAAAAGCAATCGGCGTCTACGTGGCTAGAAGTTGACACCTCATGAAAATTGAGCAGTATTTCTTCTGCTTTCAGATCATTAAAGCATTTCACCTCAAATCCTAGGTCTGAGAACCTGCGCATGAGATTGTCTCTGCGCTGGTGCCCCGCCTTTCTGGCAGTGTTAAGTGCCAAAAGAGCCTCTCGTGATTGAAGGTTAAAGCAATTCCTCTCCTCTTGTGGTCCACTTTGTACTCTTTGGCGGAATCAAACATTTCACCTTTACAGAAGGCATCTGTTTCTGCCATGTTTGCTCCCCACTTGCACGGCGAGCCCTGCGGAGCGCCCGCGCAGAGTTCATCCCCGCCAGCCCGCAGCTGGAGGCCCGCAGGCCGCTTCTTGAATCTCCTCTA